GTTGTCCAATATTTTGTAATTATACAGTTTACCTAAAAAATCAATAAAATTAGGCTAGTTTAACGCGTTTTTGCATAAAACGAAAGAATCAAGGATAATCTAAACAATCTTGCTCTTGCTCCATTTTGCCGTATGCAGTATGGTTAGGGCAAACACTACACTATTACTGTTCACAGAGCTTGTATTCGCTAGCCAGGGGAGGGAAAGTTAGATCTTGAAACTGGAAACAGACATGGCCGACAGGCCAACTAGAAACGGGGGTAAAACGTGCGCACGCATTCAGCTGTCAACCGAAATGTGGCGGTCAAAGACATATGTCTTTGGTAGCGGTAGACGAAAGTGAATAGTGTGTTAATCGAATTGAGACCTTTGCTTCACGAGGAGGTTATTTATTGGATCCGTCATTTCTGCATGCTGTGACTCTATACGCTCTATACTTTAGTCGGAAAACCAAACGAAGGGAAACCAAATTAACCAAAAGGAGAAAGTGCGTAGTGAATTACTCCCTGTACTCTGTGCCTCATCTCGTTGAGACTATGTTCAAGTGTTTTGGAAAGGTCTTATTAGGTAATGTTTCTACTTATGTACGAGAATGAATGTACGAAGAAGAATCTTTCGTTTTGACAGAATGTAACATTTTGTCAGCCATGTATAACACATTTTTTTCCGTTATTTCTGATACTGTTGAAAAAGGAAAAATTGTGAAAAACAAAGAGCAAAAAATTCGAAAGTTAGATAGAGGACAATCTCACATAACTTTAAATCATCAAGGATCAAGAGAAAATAAAGAGAATATTCTTATTTATATTAGATTTGTGATAATGACGCTTCATAAAATAAATTCAAAGTATACAAGGGACTAACAGCAACAGCAGTTAGCAGTTTATTAATTGCTAACATTTAATCCTTTTTAAAATTATATAAAATAAAAACAGATGTTTCAACTTTACATTATGTCATTTTCAATGTTAAGTAAGTCAATTTACACGACAAATTAAAATTGCTTTTTAAGAACGTTTATCGAAAAAGACTGATTAAAATTAAGCTTGTTAAATCCATGTAATTGTAGAGTTTATGTATGCGTCCGTTATGTATGTGTCCGTTATGTAGTGTCTGTTTTTATTTTATGTAATTTTAAGAAAGGTTAAATGTTAGCAACTAATAACCCGCTGTTGCTCTTAGCCCCTTGTCTTTTATACTTTGAACTTATTTATATTCTTTCGAATAATATACATATAAACGATGTGTTTTTCAGATCACCACATTCATCTGTTATCCATGAATATTATGCACGAAAATGTAAATCTGCTTTAACTGTTGATGTCATACTTACAAGTACAATGAGAAGGGCATTCAAAGCTTATGTATTCCATTAGAAGTGCCTAGAGGGAAGAAAAAAGGTTCCATGTTTACACACACACACACACACATTGGTTAAAGTTCAGGTTTGTTCTTCATTACAAACTTTATTGAATTAATTTTTACTGCATATTGTTTTTTATGAGACAAAAATGTATAAACAATTGTAATGTTGCATGTTATGTTCTAGGAATATGATATCGACCGAAGAAAAGAAGTATCAAGAATGGAATATTATAGAAACAAGGCAATACAGACTGTAACAGAAGACTGAGCAAGACAATATAAAATGTAAGAGAAAACTGGGCAAAGCAATATCAGAATGTAAGATAAAACTGATGATATATATTAATAGATTCCTTTCGACGATTATATTTAACTGATTTCTTGGATAGAGCTTCAATTTACAATAACATTAATTTGTGTAGATTTCAATTTAATTAAATTTCTTCTTTTTATGTTTAAATTCTACAAAAGAATATTAATGTCATTTGAAATAGATATTTTCTATAATGCCTTCGCGAAAAAAATTTTCTTGTATGTTCCCTAAATGTGGCAACAGCTACTATTGGTCGAAAGATGAGGCCCATAAAATTATTAACAAACATTTTTATCGATTCCCCATAAATTCTGACACTTGCATGAAATGGAAGCTTGCTTGTGGTATTGATACTTCAATCAATTGTCAAAATTTGCGCATTTGCGAAGATCATTTTTGTGAAGAAGATTTCGTAAATTTTTCGAAGCATCTTTTAAATCAAAATGCTATACCTAAAAATTTTGAAATCACTAATTCTTTTATTAATGCTGTATCAGAATCTGCCGTTTGTAACGATTCTTCTAAAATTGCGTATGCTGCCTCGTGTGATATCTCCACTTCCGTAAATAGTGACAAGATTTATGAAATAACTCCTACAGAATTTCCTAATAGTCACTCTAGAAATTGCTCAATAAATTCAACAAGTAAAAATAATATCGAGCTAAATATTTATAAGGATATTAATTGTAATAATGAGAATTTTAACGATTTAGAACTTAATGATGGTTTTTCAACTCCTACAAAAAAACGAAAAAGAGGAATTTTAAAAGAAATAGGAACAACTTTAAAGTCAATGTCACCGCGAAAAAAGGGCATGTATAAAATTCATCGTACAGTTACTGCACAATTGTGTAAAATGAAAAAACAACTTCGTAACAAAAGGAATGCTTTAAAGAAATTAAAATCTATGTATGACGATAATGTTTTTGAATGCATTAATAATAAACTGAATAGCGTTACAACAAATTTTATCAATTCACAATTACGAAATGCAGATCGCACTCCTGTTGGAAGAAGATGGACAGAAGAGGATAAGACTTTCGCTTTGTCGATGTACAAACGGAGTCCTCGCCTCTACAAATATTTGTCCACCTATAATACTTTCAATTACCATCAATCCGCACACTTAAACAAGTTTTGTCAAAGATTCCTTTTGACACTGGAATAAATGAACTCCTTCTAGAACAATTAAAAATAAAAAGCGATGAAATGGACGAACTAGATAGATATTGCACTTTAGTATTCGATGAAATATCTTTAAGTAAAGGTTATCACTATGAAGCACATAAAGAAAAGATTACTGGTTATGAAGACATAGGTGAGTTGAGTCGAACTTCTAAAACTGCTAATCACGCGCTCGTTTTTATGATTCGTGGCCTGAAAAGATCTTGGAAGCAAGTAATTGCTTATTACTTCACGGCTAATACAATTTCCTGTAGCAACCTAAAATCTATAATAATAAATATTATTTTGCAATTTCAGGAAATTGGTATCAAAGTAAAAGCAACAGTTTGTGACCAAGGTTCCACGCAAAGAAGAGCCCTATCCGAATTATGTGCAGAGAATAAGGTTGACCCAACTAGCTATACGTTCGTAGTTAATCAGGTCGCAGGCGAGCACACGGACATGGGCTCGTGCTTAAGTGTGTGGCTACCGATTTTGACCGCCGTCTGATACTGTGTCGCCACCGTCAACGCAGAGTTCTTGGCTGAGTAGTCAGGAGTCTTAAGTCGATCTGTTGCTGCTGCAATTCAATCTTTTAGTATATCTAACGTCAATGGATTGTTTCCTGTAGAATCGTTACAAACGGCAGAGTTTGCGCAATTAATAGATGATCTTTTTGATTCCTTAAATGGCTGGAAATTAAAACCAGAAGATGGAAAAAAGTATAGATTTTGCTTACAAGAAGACTCACCTCATTTTGAATTGTGGAGCAAATTATTACCAGAAATGACTAAATGGAAATTATTACAATTAACATCAGGAGAGGATGTCACAAGTAAATATCATTTCGTGAAAGGATGGATAACAACAATAAGATCAGTGATGTATTTATGGCATCAATTGAAAGCTCTCGGCTTAAAGCATTTGAATTTACGAAATTTAAATCAAGATCCATTAGAAAACTTATTTTGTCAAATACGTCAACATGGTATTACAAATACAAACCCCACCTGCCACCAGTTTGTAGCAGCCTTAAAAACTGTTGTTTTAAATAATTTGTCCGTTCCGATCTCCAATTCGAATTGTGAAAATGACAAGTGTGAAAATTTAGACAATTTTCGAGAATTCCTAAAAAGATCCGCACACAGCATTCAAAACGAAGAAAGTGAATCGCTTGAGAATATCGACAAGTGTACTCTTACCTACATCGTTTCTAAAAACATAGGATTGTTCTTCAAGGTTTTCTGCAGGCTGCTGGCTACTTATTTTAAACGGGTAAAATCTGAAACTCTTATATGCAGCACATATTGTGACGAGTTGACTGCA